TTAGTTTTGATATGGATGGTGTAGGTGTCTAAGGAGTCGGGATAAATCAGCACAAGGGACATGATGACATGTGTGACACAATGGGCACTGTTCCTTCGTTCTGCCTCCTTGTATACACTCTCAACACTCCTTGAGTTTGAATCCCACCATCTTCGAGCTCTTCCTCCGCTGATCCTTCTCACTCAATAGGATAATGTATCGTTCCCACATGTGCCAAACCTCCAGTATCTGACGAGTCACCAAAGGGAGAGGTCACCTCCAAGTAGTAGTACAGTTCCAATTCTCTAAAAGTCACATCTATACTCAGAAATATTTTCTTCTCTACTGGACTCCGACAATATACTCCTGCTAGGTAGCAGAATAACCCACAAAAATATACTTTACAGCTCCAGGGTCTAGCTTTCTTATTGATGGTCTATTATTATTTACAAACTGACACAATCAAATACTTTCAATGGGAGGATCCCGCTATTATGTTAGAGTATGAGAAAAATTGAGCAATGTTATGTGAGAAACCAAAAAAAAAAGGCGGCTGTCAAAATGACCTGCCCCCACAAGTGCTTTGGTACATTCATCGAGATCATCATGTTTCGGGCAACCTTTAGAATGTGTTTATTCTTTCTCTCTGCTACTCTGTTTTGTGTCGGTGTGTACTGACATGTGGTTTGATACTGTATCCGGACATGTGGTTTGATATTGTATCCCTTGGGGTGACAGGTACTCCTCAAATGTCTTTTTGGTATATTTTGTCTCATTTTAAACCTTAATATCTCCATTACTCCAACGTATTGAGTCTGAATTGCCCTGTGAAAATTTTTAAAGCAGGCAAGCACATCACTTTTGTTTCTCATCAGATGTAACCAAATAACATGATAAAACAATCAATGAAAATCACAAAATATTTATAATCATTCATCGAAGCTGTAGAACAAAGTCCCTATACGTTCGAATGTACCAAATCAAAAACACAAGAAATCCTATTACCATAACTAACATAGGAGCTCCCGGTATGCATACCAAATTCATAAGCATCACACACAAGTTTTTGTTTATTTACATTCTCATACAAAGATGGATACAAATGATTCAATAGACTAAACGAAGATTGTTTCACATGCCTATGATATTGCAACAACATATCTTCCATTTCTCCCAGATTCTCCTACTCCAGCACACTTTACCATGGTTGTTAATGTTCAATCCATCCCCTCTCTATCCAAATACCAGAGTCCATTATGCCACATGTCAATGTCAAGTCGTCAGCCAGTCATCTTCTCTTGAAAGATCGCCTTTGGAATAGCAAATAAAATAACGTATTTTAGTTAGAGTATAATGACACTAATGAATAAAATGTTTACTAGAAAGGAAGGATCATGCAAAATATTGGACAAAGTATATAATCGGTACACTTTATTATACCCTTACCAACCATTGGTTGTGTTGTACTATCAACGGTTTGAATGTTTTTTGGAACTGCTAGATGAGTATAAGAAGAGAACTCACTAGCATTACCTGACATGTCGAGATGTATCAAAATCTACTATCTTTTTCGGTGATCTTGTGGTGGATATCAAGACAAGAGCATGTGTATTATGAGTACATTTGGTTGAGTGAGCATAAGTAAGGTGAATGCATCCTCAAGCATCACTTGTCGCTCTTTGCTTTCTCTTCAACATCTCTAGGAACTCGTGATTATCATTGGTAAAGATCATCACAATCTCTCCCTCGTCCTCCTCTATCATCGGATTTGCCCGTTAGCCCTCTCTTCCACCTCTTTGGCCTCCACGATTACGATTATAATCTCTAGACTATCCTCGTCCCCGTCTCTCTTTCCTTGGGTGGCTTTGGACAAGCCTTGCTCAGGTGTCCAATTTCTCCACAGTTGTAGCACCGACGGGTTTCCTCTGGGCACCTGTCATATCTGAACTCGAAGCAACCAAAGTTGACCACATAATTGGAAATCCATTCAGCGTAGAGTATAGCCTTTTGCGACTCTCCTTCTATATCATCGCGACAATGGCCTCATCCAGTGAAGAGATCGTTGCCTGGGCTATGAGGACTGGTTTCCTCCAATCAAGGACAAGTTTTAGATGAGACAGAAAATGCATAATCCTCATCTGTACAAAGATCTCCCCCTTTTTGCACCCCAGATCACCACAACTTGATATAGGTGAGAAGTGGTCAAGATCTTGCCACAAGCACTCTGGCTCTATGAAATACTCTTGAATCGATCTATTGCCCTATAGCACTGCATCTATCTCACGCTAAATCTAAAACACCCTCATATGATTTCCAATCCCAGCATAGATCTTCAACTTCGCCCAGATGTCCCTCATCATTCAAATGTCATCTATTGATGAGACAAACGATGAAACCATAGAGTTGAGTGGCCATGTGTAAAGCAAAGCGTGTGTGATCCTCCACTCATCCCTCTCGACACTGTCACTATTTGACTCAACGCCCGTTAGATGCCCCTCTAGTTTCTTCCCTACTAGAGCCGCCTCGATTCGACGCGACCAACTTAGATACGTGATCGGTCGATCAAGTTTCAGATCTATAGTAGGGAGATCTAGTTTTATCTGTGTCGAAGCACGTGTTGAAATAGTGGCCCCCGTCGAGATACTAGCTCTTTGTATTAGCTCGATCAAGACTTTCAAAACTTCAGGATCTATCTTTCCCAGAAGATCCACACCTTTACCTTCGACTCCATCTCCTTCCGACTTCTTAAATTTAACTATTTTTTTCTTTGTATGACTGATTTGAAGCCCTCGCCAATTTCTATTTCACGCGAAGCTGCTTGAACCTCCATGTTCCTACGCAAGAAAGAGCCTGCACTTCCCCTCTGCTTTGCAGCCAATGAAGTGATCAATGTGTACGATGGACTACGAAACTTCAGGCTTGCCGGACAGCAGTTACGAGATCACAACCGCAATTATAGCTCGTTGGATAGTAATGACGACTCACTGGATAGCAGCAACGGAATCACACAACACAAAGGCCTCAAGAACTCTCTTCTTCTGCTCCTGCGCTCGGGAAACACGAGGAACAACTGGATCACATAGCAATAGCTCCTTCTGCTTCTGTGCTTGGAAAACACAATGACAGCGGAATGCAACAAAGGGATTGCACGACAATAGCAACAATGGGATCACACTGTAATAACAATGACGGGATCACACAACAAATAATAACGATGGAGTCGCACGATCCCGCCTCCTTGTGTTTGAAGTTGAAGCCACTCCTTTCTTCTTCCCTTTGCTTCTAGCACAGTGCTAGGGATCAGATAGATATTAATTGCTCTTCAAATCTCACCCATTTTATTAATAACTTGGGCTTATATGGAGTCTTGCAACACTTACAAATGAACCATAGATTTTTTCTATTTACAAATAGGACCCTAACTTAGATACAAATCTCAACACACTTTATTATTTTGAACTCCATTCTCAATTGCATTGATTATATGTCGGACGACAATTCGATAATGCCTCTAATAATTTTTTAAAGATTGTCACACGTGTTTGTAATTGAGAAAAGTATTAAAATGGCCCTCTTACTCTTTTTCAAGAGTCATTTTAGTCCCAAAGCCTATAAAAGTATCAATTTAGTTTACAAAATCTTTTAAAGAGGGCTAAAATAGCCCTCACCCATGTTAGAATAGTTTGGGACTAATTTGACACTTTTATAGATTCTAGGACTAAAATGTCTCCATTTAAATAGTCAAAGGATTATTTTAGCAATTTACAAATTTGTAATTTCTTGCTCTTTATTTTAGCTATCATTTTCTATTTTTTTGCAAATATTTTTATTCAGATAGATTTACTTGCATACCACTAAATTTTTATATATGTAAGTTCTAACACTTAAACTTTAATTTTTACATATATGCTACCTTATATATGCATAAAAAGATATATTTCACTTTTTAAAAGTTAAAATATTGGTATTTTCGATACGAAACATTTGGGTAGTATAAATCTAAAAATGTGAAGCTTAGGTTTTAGATATGTAAATTTATAGGAATTTGGTTCTAATTGACTCCTAAGTTGAAGAAGGGTTGAAGCGCATGCTGAGTATCCCAACTAGATAACTCAGTGGGATAGGACCCAAACCAGTTCAATTCCCCACCCTAAATCCACTCGTAAATCAGCAAACAAACTAAAAGTTGAAACTTTAATGTCGATGTTTTCCTTCGATCTTCTTACCCTACAAACATGACAGGAAAATCTTACATTTTGTCCATGCAGGCTCATGATTTCAGGCAGGGTGGTGCCCAGTTGAGGCGGAAGTTGTGGTGGCAAAACATGAAGATAAAGCTCCTCATCCTGGCGATCATCATCGTTCTCATTCTGATCATAATCTTGTCTGTATGCCATGGCTTCAATTGTAAATGAAAGTTCTGGTCATTCTTGATGGCTTCAGGTTCTACATAATCCTCGACTCCAATTAGTGATTTGTCATCTAAAGACATTTCTTCAGTGTTTTTCCGAAAGGGACATTTACATACATGCCACACAATTCTTATGTATTTACATACCTTAACACCTAAAACTTTCATATTTACGTACATAACACTTTAATCTTTAATATTACATAAAAAATATCACTATTACAAGCCTTTTAAAAGTGAGTACACCTTTTCGTTATTGATTCATGACAACAAAGTGTTATAGATGTAAATATCAAATTTTAGGTGTTAGATATGTAAATACAAATGAATTGTGTGACATGTATGTAAATTTCCCTTTCCCAAAATAGTTCTGGGAGGGATTTCCTTTGTGTTTGGGGATTCCTCCGCTTGTATATATATATAGTTGGGAATGCAACTGGTTGTTTCTTCTTCACAAAACATTAGGATCTATTGATTCTTGTAATTGTTTGTTTTCTTGACCAACTTTATCACAATATGGCTCATAATGGTGCTTCATTTTGTTGCTTGATATGTAAAAAAAATTATTGCATTTTTTGTCATCTTCATCAATATGATCCGGTTGGATGAATCTTTTATCATCTACAAGTGAGTTTTCTGTAATTCACCCTTAAGTTTAGGATTGATGGCTTTCATGACATACAAACCATCCCTAATTCTGTAGGTATAGAACTATTAAATGCCTACAAAAACCCAAATAAACCCAACAAAGCTATACATATTATACAGCGTTAACCAAGTAATTGAAAACCTCCTCATCAAACAAAAACCAATCAAAGAAAGGATTGGTCCTAACAAGCTATCTGATCTCTGTATGTGGATATCTCCACAAAGATAGGCAGCCTCCTGGATTTTGAAGGAGACCATCCATTCAGTGCATTATCAAGCCTATCAATGGCCTCCCCTCTGCTCAAAATCTTGTCCATAGTCGATGTCGACTGCTTCAACTCGATCTCACGAAGCAATTCTGTAGCCCGACTTACTGCCTTCCACTCTTCGCCATCTAAAACTCTATGTTTAACGACATCCAACAGAACGGATCGAGCATTATCGAAATTTCCCTGCCTCATGAGGCAAACACCAAGGTTGCAGGCCTTGTTGGCGTCAGGATCGATCATCTGAGCCTTACGGTATGCTAATTCTGCAGCATCAAAGCATTTTTGTTGCATGTATGCCCAACCCAAATTCGCCTGCCATTCAAACTTTTAAAAAAATATTAAATGTGGAATATGTATAATATTTCTTCGCCATCTAAAACTCTATGTTTAACGACATCCAACAGAACGGATCGAGCATTATCGAAATTTCCCTGCCTCATGAGGCAAACACCAAGGTTGCAGGCCTTGTTGGCGTCAGGATCGATCATCTGAGCCTTACGGTATGCTAATTCTGCAGCATCAAAGCATTTTTGTTGCATGTATGCCCAACCCAAATTCGCCTGCCATTCAAACTTTTAATAATTGTCAATAAGCTTAGATATCAAACTTCTAAAAAAATATTAAATGTGGAATATGTATAATATTTTTTCGTCAACACAGCCTTGTAACAACATTTACAAAAAACTGCAACAGCCCCCAAACACCCAATTATCCGCACATACAACTATGTATTAATCGTTGTGTACTCAAAAGAGAATGTCTTGCAAATCTGGAGTCCGCACGTGCTCGCGTCCGAGCTCCTGCTCCGCCCCGTTATATCACGTCCGTTGTCCGGATGCAGCTCTGCGTCCAGACTCCGAACAAAATATTTTTTTCTCAAATATGATAGCGGCAGGTGTAGTACCAGAACATGAGCGGTTTCTTGCTTGATAGAGACTTGAAACTTCTTGCCATGGGAGCGAGCAATCTTCGTGGTCTTGCCATTAAAGGCTTCTCCCAGATATATCATCCTCAGCTTCTGCTTCAGCAGTTCAATCTGATCCCCAAACATTCCGCATTTCTGATCAACAGCCATGGATTTAGAGCTCATAATTCATCCATCAACACTGTGCACAAACAGAAAAAGCAATGCAATCTTACCTTGTAGAGATCTACAAGAAGGTTGTCGAGGGACTCCTGGGCTTGCCTGGAGCAGAGATGTCTGAAGGATTTGATGGCCTCAATCGCCTCCTCAGCACGGCCTTGCTGCTTCATGATCACCACCATGTCCTTCAGCGCACTGTCGATCCTATCGCCGGCATTGATGGCTTTCCAGAACCAGATTATAGCTGAATCCTGATCCTTCTCGACCAGCTGCTTCATAAAGTGAATTCATTTCAGGTAAGTTCAGATCAAGAGCTTGTTTAAACTCGGAATATTTGCTTACATACCACTCAATTTTTATGCAATACAAAGGATTTGGATGTATATTATTTTCAATTGCAAAAAATAAAAAGATAAATTATAATTATTTTAATACAGTTCTAATTTATTAAATACTGATTTTTTTTGTTTTTTGCATACAGAAAGAAAAAGAAATTGGAACTGTAGAACAGAAGCAGGGAAGGAGGAGATTCATTTATACCTGGAGGTGCTTTGCCCAAACGTATGGGCTATCTCCTGCGGGGACTTTGTGTAGTACATGGAAGAGTTCCTTCCGGTCTGCTCCTGAGCTCCTTCTATTGGATCCAATTCCTCTCTCCATTCCTCTTTCTGATTATGTCGCTAATGCAAGAGGGGAGAGAGTGCGTGTGAATCCTGCTTTTGTTTTCCTCTCATTCTCTCGGCTAAAAGGAGAGAGAGGTGGAGGGGAAGGGGATGAGAGTGGCCGGGGATTCATCCAGGTTCGTCGCAGCTAGGTTCAATGTGTCACACGTGTGGACCGTTATATTTAACGGCTACCGGACGGTTTTGGCCTGTGCTCGCTTTTCATATCCACCACACAATTCTCATGTTTTTAGAATGTGTGAGTGAATCGTGTTGAGTTCGAGTTACTTAGGTTTGAGTTTGAACTCGATATATTAATTGAGCTCAAGTTCGATTTTGAGTTTGATTCTACAACTCCTATTTAATATGAAAAAAAATATTATTTTAACATAGTACTACAACAACAACAAAACCTTTTTCCCATTAAGTGGGGTCGGCTACGTGAGTTCTTTTTCTTCATTGCGTCCTATTTAGTGTCATATTTTAGTTTGAGTGAGGTTGATCTCTACAACAAAACCTTTTTCTTCGAACCGGATCATCAGATGGTCGATGTTTAATGTGACCAACCCCCCTAAGACGACTATCTCTAATTTTTTCCGTCACTGGAGCCACAGCAACCCTATCATGGATAAAGGGAAACCAATACCATCAATTAGAGCCTGAAAAAAGATTTAGAAGATTTTGTGTGTTGTGCATGTAAATCCCCCGAGTTCTTTATTCTATGTTTGGTCTTTTGGAGTGCTCTATGAGGTTCTTGAATCAATTGTTCTTCAAGTGATCTTGTGGTTCTCATTAAGAGAAAATTAAATTAATATTTTTATTAATTTTAATATTTTTAATCTTAATTCTTCAAATTTTATCTTATAAGAAGATTCACTTCATCCGAATTCATATGATGAAGCAACTTATTTATATTTTTATTTAAAATGAAACATATTTGTTATATTATTATATGATTAATCATCTTTAAAAACATTTAAACTTTTTTTTAGATATTTTGAGTGGGTTATAATAAAGATATAAAAAATATACTAAATGAACATATTTTTTAAATTAAAAATAAAAATAAAGATAAAATTGATCCTAAATAGATTCTTAGCATCTCTTGCCTAAATAATTTTAGCCCAATAAATACTATTAAAAAATATTATTTATTTTTAAAATATAATTTATCTTTCCTTTTGTCTATTTATGACACCAAAGTTTTATACATAAAAATCTGAATTTGAGGGGTGGCAACCCTACATGAGTCTGCCCATATATATGCCTTGTAACAACA